TACACTACTCATTGTGATTATTGTCAGGTGGATATGAATCATCTGATCAATTCCAGTCATCTATCACTACCAGTATTTCTATTCAATAGAATTCATAAAATCAGACAAACTGGTTTTAAGGGACGTGATATGAGAAATGTGTGTATAACGGAGGCTTTCACAGTTCATCAATTCGTCTATTCTTTATGGTCAGAGGAGGTATAACCAATCTCTTATTTTAATTCATTCTCTACAGGTATTCGTATATATTCACCAAGACGACTTATCTTTCGCATCTCTTTTCTATGTTGTTTTCATTCTGATTAACCTTTTGACGACCACGTAACTTTACAATTCTGATTAACTCTTAATAACTTTAGTAATAACTCAGCAGTTAGGTTTTACTAAGTGTAAAGAGAACTGTTTATACGATTTTGCACAGTTTGAGAAAATGATACCATCAAAAGGAGAAAATGTTCCCTTGAATGTTTTCCTTTTTTCCTCAATTGTTATTACATTACAGTGAATAAAAAACTAGTTGAATCCAAAAATAAGTTAGATATGTTCTTGAATGATGTAAATTATTACAAAATCCAAACCTGTCTCCTGATGTAAGTTTTATAATTGAATATAATTCTAAAAATCATATCAGCATCGAAATTACAAATAATTTGTACTTTTTGTGTAAATCTATCAACAAAATGAAAGATGCCAGCATAGAATACCATGAGTTCAAATATTTTTGTAAAGATTTTAATTGATAGTAGTTAAATCTACATATCAGAAAATATTTCCTAAACAGTTTAACAATAGTTGGGTTCAGTAAATCAAAACGAAAATTCATGAAATAGGTTTTATGTATATACATTGTTTGATATTGTATGTATGAATCATTAAAATGAAATAAGTTTACACACTTTATGTCAAGAATAATGTGAGTTAAAATGTAAAGATAGATGAATATTAAGAGATCATTGTACGAAAGAATTGCAATTATTCAAACATTCACTCATTTAGAAGTTAAATATATGAATATTCTAGAAGACCATGAAAATGAAATTATTTTCGAAACAGAAAAAAGATTATGTAATATAGAATGGTTGAGTAAAGCTCAGGATTAAGATATTGGAACTTTGATTAAAGTTTGTGACAGAAATCAAGTAGTCTTGGGTAATAAAAAGTTTTAGGTCACCTGGGCAAAACAAGATTGAGAACTGTTTTCATTTTGGATACATGAATTCCGTTTAAATTAACAGCTTCAAGAACGTGAAGCAATTTCGCATTCCTTTGTCTAAAGACTCCAACTTCACGATCACTGTCGAGTAGGTGACGAACAATTGCTCTGTTGAAAACTTCTTGTTCGTTCAGTCTCGACTTTCCTGAAATATGTTTGGAGATGCAGATAAAAATCTTTCTTTCTGTTTTTCCTATGTATGTGCTTGGGCACGTATATGTTAGCAGGTAAACACAATCGGAAGTAACATAAGACGGGTATTTGTCCACATTTGATTGTCTCAATAATCATTTAGTTTAATACTGCGATACCAATTTGGCCACTGGTTACGTATTTTTAAGCACTGAATTTAGTCGAAGATCAATCCTTCCGGCAACTTCATCACTATGAAACAAAGTGTTGAGAAGACAGGCTTTTTCTCAACCGTAGGATATTCCATTTTCTTTTCTCTAATCGCACCATATTTACGTATAAATTTTTATGGATAACCATTCTTACGTAAGCACCACTTAACCAAGGCCGATTTCTCCTCAATTCTTCCTTTTATCTTCGTACACGGTTGAATAGCATACTGACTTGCTCAATGCACAGCTTACTTTGAGGTGTGTTTGGCAATAATGCGAAAAGCTAAAATATTGAATTAGTGAAATAAAGGTAGAATTAAATACTTGTAAAATATATTCAATATACAAATTTATGAGTAAACTCCTAGTTATTGAGTGACTGATACGATTCATTTTTAATACTTCGACTGATTACTATGCAATCAATCAAATGTTGTTGTCTAAAGATTATTCCTCTGACAGTGCATGAGTCAGTTATAAAAAATGTAGGACTATGAATCTGAAATTCACCTCCCCACAATCTCAATAAAGAAACTAGAAATTAATGAAGCGTCAAGTAAATCGATAGGAATGGTAAAGAACTAAATACCGAGGGTATAGTTTGAAAAGATAAAATACAAGCAACAAAGATAATATGATGTAATTTGAATACTAAAGATTTAGAATAAGATAGGGAGACAGATTTTGAGTTAGGTCACTTTTGGTCTTCTATTATAGAATACAATTCCTGTATGGATTCTAACGAAGTAGTTTACACTTCTGTGTACTGCTTACACAACCATTGGATAACTTAACAAACTATCTACCTACCTTAGTTTGGTCGCCGGTGCTCTACTTCTATATTAAACACTACATTAGATATTTAGTATCTGGATATGTCGATTTTATGTCTCAACATTGATAAACTACACCAACTTGTAAAATAGAAGTTCCATTTAAGTAATTGGTACACTTATTATTAGATAACTTAATACTACTGATTAGTTTTCAAATGTACAAATAATATTTCATGAAGTATTACATTTCGCTAGGAGACTGAACCTGGTGACTACAAGTTACTTTTTTTGTAAATCTAATAGTTGACAAACTACGGAAGAATAAAAACAAATATTTCTAGAAAGCTATCGTAACTAATTACGAATGCTAAAACTATATTAATCAGGATCACTTGTAAACGGACATAAAATGGTCATTGTGTCTTTGCGACGATCGACTGCTGAATTTAAATTGTAGTGTTGAGAGAATAATGCGAAAATAACAATAAATATCATCTGGAAAACTTTGGCAAATATCACGTTTTTAAAGAAACACTTTCACAATAGCAATGATTAGTCAGAAAAGTTTATTACTGTTCAAATAATACCTAACAAAATGAAGGATGTCTTTTTCAATACCGTTTCGTTCAATTTTTTTTCTCAACTGAACAAAGAAGAGAGTAGCACAGCACACAACTATATATAACTATTATATTCAATTTACGCATAATGACTCACAATCATATTGTATAGAAAATCAAACCTAAAGCATGATTGAACAAGTGTTCAATCACTAATTTTCGACCGTATATATATTTCGCGCACATATATTGATTACGATTATTTCCATGATGATGTTTAAATAGAACTGGATAAATATTCAATAAATTTATTGAGTTGTTTCGTGAATAATTATGTAGATATGAGATATTTTCTTTTACTAATTGAATGCACCTAAAGGAGGACCATAGAAAGGTTTTGAGTGTTTGAATCCAAGTGAATTCGTAAGTTCACATTGTTAAAACGTTTAGGACTAAAGTGAAACATTACTGAATTAGAGAAAAACAATAGTATATTGCTGCCTAGCTTTTAATCTACATTAGTTTGTCGTAAAGATCATTTTTACATGATCATCTTTTTTGTTTCATGGAATTTTTGTAACTTATTAATATTAAATCATTTTGAAAATAACCGAATAAATGTTAAATTAATTGAAACATTTGAAATAACTTTCGATTATTTCGCTACAACAAAGTTGTAATCGAACCATTCAAAATCTTGTTCATTTCTAGAACAGAATCACAAGGTCAAATGCATCATGCTATGCTATTTTTGTACATACATTTGTCAACCGTTGTTATTCAGTTTAATTAATTTACCGACAAACGTGTGATAGTGTGTGTATTGATTTGTTGTTAAATTGGAAATATTTTAACATTTTATATTTGTTTTCAGTCATGAATTAAAACAATTTCATTTCCTCATAGATTTACATACAACATAAAACATGAAATGCTTTCTTTATCTATTTGGTTTGTTTTGGAGATCAGTATCACTAAAAAACATGTGAACAAATGTTCATAGTAAATAGATAATTAAGATCTTCATTGATTTTCGATCAATTGTCATTCATTTCATTACGTAGTATAATTTTGTGATTTTAATTATCCCCCAATTTATCATGTTAATACCTCATTGCGTCACTAAGAATATTTGGCAATAAAAATTAAGTGTAGTAAAGTCCTTCATATTTTTATTTGGTTAAATGAACGAAAAAAAGAAGTAGAAATTTCTTTCCAATTAGTTTTTTTATCATGGCTCTACAGTAATATACATTATGAGTTACAACAAGTAGGACATCAATCTTGATTGAGC